ATAGGCAGTTCACTTTTCCATGGGTTATTACATGTAATTCAACTTAAACAAGCAATTTATGACCCATGGAAAAATAATCTTGTATCTCATTTTTCCTCCTACCATATTGGCAGTACTGGTATTTTCTTCTATAATTCACTGTTTTTTGCTTTTTTAATGTATTTTTGTTATATATAATTGAATTCTTCTATGAGACTAAAAAATATCAAAATATGTTGCAAGCTCCCAAAATGCAACACTTAATAGATCAACAAACAGGGGTGCATTCAAGAGTTTAGCGGCTATAATAGCATCTACGTAAAGCTACGCTCTTGAACGGAGAGCTAGCCTAGCTGCTACAAAGGGAGAGCTAGCATAAATATTTCATGCTAAGTATCAAATCCAAGATGGCTTCCTTAGTAACAACTTTGCAGCACACAAGATTCAGCCCTGGTATTACACACATTAATGGGGTGGGGGCAGGGGAAAACTCCAAAACATGAAATATTTTTATTATGATTATCCTGATTTGCATTATTAGCTCACCTGAGCCGAAGGCTCAAGTGAGCTTTTCTGATCACATTTTGTCTGTAGTCCGTCTGTCCGTCTGTCTGTCTGTCCGTCCGTCCGTCTGTCTGTAAACTTTTCACATTTTCGACTTCTTCTCAAGAACCACTGGGCCAATTTCAACCAAACTTGCCACAAAGTATCCTTGGGTGAAGGGGATTCAAGATTGTTCAAATGAAGGGCCACGCCCTCTTTCAAGGGGAGATAATAAAGAATTAGTGAAAAATTAATAGCATCTTTTAAAAATCTTCTTCTCAAAAACCACAAAGCCAGGGAAGATGAAACTCATGAAGAAGCATCCTCAGGTAGTGTAGATTCAAGTTTGTTCAAATCATGACCCCCGGGGGTAGGGCGGGGCCACAATGGAGGATCAAAGTTTTACATAGAAATATATGGGGAAAAACCTTTAAAAATCTTCTTCTCAAGAACAGCAAAGCCATGATGAGTCATATTTATATGGAAGCATCCTCAGGTAGTGTAGATTCAAGTTTGTTCAAATCATGACCCCCGGGGGTAGGGCGGGGCCACAATGGAGGATCAAAGTTTTACATAGAAATATATGGGGAAAACCTTTAAAAATCTTCTCCTCAAGAACAGCAAAGCCATGATGAGTCATATTTATATGGAAGCATCCTCAGGTAGTGTAGATTCAAGTTTGTTCAAATCCTGACCCCCGGGGATAGGGCGGGGCCACAATGGAGGATCAAAGTTTTACATAGAAATATGTGGGAAAAATCTTTAAAAATCTTCTCCTCAAGAACAGCAAAGCCATGATGAGTCATATTTATATGGAAGCATCCTCAGGTAGTGTAGATTCAAGTTTGTTCAAATGATGACCCCCGAGAGTAGGACGGGGCCACAATGGAGGATCGAATGTTACATAAGAACATATAGAAAAATATTTCTTCTCAAGAACAGAAAAGCTATGTTTAGTCATATTGATATGGAAGCATCCTCAGGTAGTGTAGATTCCAGTTTGTTCAAATGATGACCCCTGGGATAGGGAGGAGCCACAAGGGGGGATCAAATTTTTACAAAGGAATATATCAGAAAATTTTTTAAAAATCTTCTCAAGTACAACAAAGCCATTTGTTATTTTGACATGGAAGCATCATCAGGTAGTTTAAAATTCAAGCTCCCCCCCCCCCCCCCCCCCCCCTTGGAAACTTTTCAATACTGAACTGATTTGTGCTTTTGCCTATCCACTGTGCTCAGGTGAGCGATGTGGCCCATGGGCCTCTTGTATATATTCCCTTTTCTGTTTTCAAAGCATGGTTATAAGGTGATTTCTGAGTTCAATTTTTTAGGTCACCTGAGTCACTCAGGTGACCTATTGCTATCCGTTCTCGTCCGTCGGCGTGCGTCGTGTGTTAACATTTGAACATTTTTAGCTTCTTCTCTGAAACCGCTTAACCAATTTCAACCAAATTTGGCATATAGCATCTATGGGTGAAGGGGAACAAAAATTGTGAATTTCATGGTCCCTGCCCCCCTGGGGCCTGAGGGGTGGGGCTAAAACCACCAAAAATAATGCAATCTTTAAAAATCTTCTTCTTTACTCCAGGACATCAAGCAGTCAAACTGTTGGCATTATTGTAACAAGCATTGAGCCCTCTACCAAAATTGTGAAATTCATGGCCCCAGGGTCAGGGGTTCTGGCCCCAGGGTGGGGCTATATAGATCATATAGTGAAAGTGCATTATTTCTTTGAAAATCTTCTTCTCTGCTCCTGGGTATTAAATAAAGTAACTAAGTACATAGTTATGAAGAGCAAGAATGCCTCTTCCAAAATTGTGAAATTCATGGCCCCAGGGTCAGGGGTTCTGGTGTTAGGGCGGGGCTCTATTGATTATATAATGAAAATGCATTAATTCTTTGAAAATCTTCTTCTCTGCTCCTGGGTATTAAATAAAGTAACTAAGTACATAGTTATGAAGAGCAAGAATGCCTCTTCCAAAATTGTGAAATTCATGGCCCCAGGGTCAGGGTTTCTGGCCCCAGGGTGGGGCTATATAGATCATATAGTGAAAATGCATTATTTCTTTGAAAATCTTCTTCTCTGCTCCTGGGTATTAAATAAAGTAACTAAGTACATAGTTATGAAGAGCAAGAATGCCTCTTCCAAAATTGTGAAATTCATGGCCCAAGGGTCAGGGGTTCTGGTGTTAGGGCAGGGCTCTATTGACTATATAGTGAAAATGCATTAATTCTCTGAAAATCTTCTCCTCTGCTCCTGGGCATTAAGGTGATAAATTAAGTACTTAGTTATGAGGAGGAGGTGGGCCTCTTCCAGAATTGTGAAAGCCATCGCCCCTGGGTCAGGGATTCTGATGTTAGGGCGGGGCTCTATTGATTATATAGTGAAAATGCATTAATTCTCTGAAAATCTTCTTCTCTGCTCCTGGGTATTATTTAAACAAACAAAGTGCATGGTTATGATGCATAAGGATGCCTTTTCAAAAATTGTGGATTTCATGGTCCCAGGGTCAGGGGTTCTGGTGTTAGGGTGGGGCTCTATTGATTATATAGTGAAAATGCATTGATTCTTTGAAAATCTTCTTCTGTGCTACTGGAGATTATTTAAACAAACTAAGTGCATGATTATGATAGGCAAGGATGCCTTTTCAAAAATTGTGAATTTCATGGTCCCAGGGTCAGGGGTTCTGGTGTTAGGGTGGGGCTCTATTGATTATATAGTGAAAATGCATTGATTCTTTGAAAATCTTCTTCTCTGCTCCTGGAGATTATTTAAACAAACTAAGTGCATGATTATGATAGGCCCCAGGGTCAGGGGTTCTGGTGTTAGGGTGGGGCTCTATTGATTATATAGTGAAAATGCATTGATTCTTTGAAAATCTTCTTCTATGCTACTGGAGATTATTTAAACAAACTAAGTGCATGATTATGATAGACAAGGATGCCTTTTCAAAAATTGTGAATTTCATGGTCCCAGGGTCAGGGGTTCTGGTGTTAGGGTGGGGCTCTATTGATTATATAGTGAAAATGCATTGATTCTTTGAAAATCTTCTTCTCTGCTACTGGAGATTATTTAAACAAACTAAGTGCATGATTATGATAGGCAAGGATGCCTCTTACAAAATTTTTAAATATATGGCCTCAGTTTTTGGAGTTCTTGAGGAAGGGGGGGGGGGGGGGGGGGGCTCTATTGATTATATAGTGAAAAAGCATTAATTCTATTAATTAATCAGTAATTAATCCTGTCTGCTCCTTAGCGTTGAGCTGATAAATAAATTGCTTAGCTATGATGAAAATGCGAGCTTCGAACAGAATTTTTAAATCTTGTGGTCCTAGGGTCAGGGGTTCTGGCATAAGGGGGGGGGGGGGGGGGGGGCTTTTGATAATATAGTGGAAAAGTGTTAATACTTCGAAGTCCATGGTTATGATGATGAGGGTAACTCTTCCAAATTTGTAAATTTCTTGACCCTTGATCTTGGGTTCTGGTGTTAGGGTAAGGCTTTGTTGAATCTGTAGTGAAAATGCATTGTGCCTGTGAAATTCTTCTCTGCTTCTGGGCATATCGGAAGAAAACAGAGTAAAAGTTTAAATGATATAAGTAAGCATATTTCTACCAGATTTTTGAACATCTGGACCATTTGTCTAAGCATTCTAGTCCTGGGCAGGGCTCTATTAATTTGTATTCTACTGAGAGAAGTTATTCCCCTTTTCCATTCACCTTTGATAATTAATCACTGTAAATAATGTATTTGAAGGTTAATAGAATAAGATAGTTATGCAAGAATGTTTATCATATAATTCAAAAAGTATTTTCTTAGTTTTAATAATCAGGTAGACCTGTAAGTAATAGATAAATAAAAATGAGACAAAAATAACTTATCATATTAAAGGTTCTTCAAAGACCGTAAGAGAGGTCAATGCTAGAGGTCTTAATATGGGTTTAAAAATAGTACAGAAGCACTAATAGTTTGTTAATAGTCTGCATGGTGATAGTGTTAAGTGGGGGACAGATTAGAACTTAATATATGAGTTGACACTGAATACTAGACTAATTATTTTGTTGATCCTGATCTTCCTACTTCTCTTGCTTTAGGGCAACAAAGCTTCATCTATCAGTGTATTTAACTTCTAAATTGTTGTATTATACTCAGGTGACCGTTAAGGCCCATGGGCCTCTTGTTATTTTATATAATTGAATCACCATTATCTAATTCATAAACAATACCAACATAAAATATTTGAAATATTTTTTTAGTTTATGTTTGTCTAATTCCAGCCTATGGTCCCCATTTATCCATTAAAACCTTTCCTATGTAACAAGGCTTTGTGATATTCTGAACCAGTTTCTTTATTAATTAATTGCCTTTTTCAGAGGGTCATACCTTCTCCAGGAGTATTTTGGTTTTTGATTTGTTCAAGGCGATATGGTTGCTTGTAATGTGTTCTTACTTAATTTAAGATTTCCATTTTTATTCCAGGCTATGGTGGCCTGTTATCCAGGTCCTTCCTCCGGCTACCTCCGTCATGTGGATAATCCAAACAAAGATGGCCGTGCCATCACCTGTATTTATTACCTCAACAAAGACTGGGACTCCAAGGTTAGTCAATTATCAAAATATCTTACACTTTCTATAAATATTATGTAAATTTGGGGGAGGGGTTGGGGACACAATGTTGTTCAAAGTTTTCAAAGGGATGTATATGAAAGAAATCGTTAAAAATCTTCTTTGCCAAGATTAGTCATATTTATATTGAAGCGTCCTCAGGTAGTGTAAATTAAAGTTGTTCAATTCATGACCAACAGCCCCTGGGCCACAATTGGTGATCAAACTTTATACATTATGGAAAAACACTTAAAATCAACTTCTCAAGAACAGCAAAGCCAAGATTAGTCATATTTATATGGAGGCTTCAGGTAGTGTATAGATTCAAGCTTGTTCAAATCATGACAGGGTCACAATGGGCTATCAGAGTTTACGTAGGAATATATAGGGAAAAATCTTTAAAAATCTTTTTCACAAGAACAGCAACGGCATGCAAGTTAGTGAGATTGATATTGATATTGAAGCATCCTCAGGTAGTGAAGATTCATGTTTGTTCAAGTCATAATCCCTCAGGGGTAAGGTGGTGCCACAACAGGCCATCAACATTTTATATAGTAATACATAGGAAAAAATCTTTTTAAAAAAATCTTCTTTTCAAGAACAGCAATTTTTAAGTCATGATTTAATCATATTTATAAGGAAGTAGTGTAAATTCAAGTTTGTTCAAAGAAGAAAGAAGTCTGCTGATGAAGAACAGCAGTGTCATAGTGTCTTTTATTTCCATTTTAAACAAGGCTTGAAATTTTTCTTGTGCTAGCTATAGTACTGACTCCAACACCATCCATTAATTAAAATTAATGAAGAAGGTACATGTACCATGTATGACTTAATTTGCACAGTGTGTGTGTATTTGATGTGAGGTAAAACACACTTTCAGGTGTATAATCTTGGCTTTTGTGGATTTCACGTCTAATATATATTCAGTAAAACAATATTTGAAGAAAAAAGTTCTTTATTGATGATTATGAATACTTAATGATCTTCATACAACATATGTTTATGATAGCTGATTAAATAAGAGTAAGATTCCCTACATTCCCCATAATGAATTGTATACTTTGTACACAGCTCTGCATTGTATACAATATGTACACAGCTCTATGTTGTATACTTTGTACACAGCTCTGCATTGTATACAATATGTACACAGCTCTATGTTGTATACATTGTACACAGCTGTACTTTGTATACATTATGTACACAGCTCTACATTGCATACCTTGAACACAGCTCTACATTGTATAAATTGTAGTCATACGTTGTTTACATTACACACAGCTCTGTTGTATACAATGTACATAGCCATATGTTGTATACAATATGTACACAGCTCTACGTTGTATAGATTGTACACATCTGTAGGTTGTATACATTGTACACAGTCGTATGTTGTATTATACATTATGTACACAACTGTAGATGTAGGTTGTATAAGATAGATATGTGGCACAAAAAGCTAAGCATGATTATGGTTTCATTAACACTTTCATCTTGCCATTTGATATTTCGGTACTAGAGATTATAATTTGTGTAATATAACATAATATTGATGTCTTTGCACATCTGTTGTCATTTGAATTAATCATTATATAATTGATTGGATTTTATGGTAGTCATCATTATTTATTTTTCTGATTGAAAATTTGAATGTCAGATATGTTGAACAATTATCAAAGTTAACACTCCACAGATGTATAAATGTCATCATTATGATATATAGCTTATTTGTAATCAAGTTGTAATCAATACAAATAGTTTAAAATCTTGATATTCTGACTGAGTTTTGAAATCATATTCCCCCAAGGGTAAGTGCGTATGAATTAAGCAGCGCTTTTTATCGCAAAGAACACCTCAAATGTTATGTAAACAGTGGATGCGATGATTGGGGCTTGCTGACCATGCAGCTTAGTTAAGACAAATGTTTTTCAAGACAGCCGGGGGGGGGGGGGGGGGGGGGGGGGGGGGGGGGGGTGTTCTTGAACATGGTGGTGGAAAATGGTGTTACAAACCAGGAAAGAAAAAAACAGACATTTATTGAACTTTTTATACTTGCAATTTGAACCTTTCTGTGAATTCATGTATCAGTATTGTTATTAAATATATGCATTCAGATAAATTATAAGATATAAAATATGACCATAGCAACTATGAAAGATTAAAAAGCATTAAAATTTTGAAATGGTAATTAAAAGAAAATAATCATGAAAACTGTTTGTTGAAAGGGTAAAAAAAGGGGGAGGAGGGTGATGTTTATAAGATTTAAATAAAAACAGGACATGATAATTATATGTTAATCTTTTAGTTTGTGTACAACTTCAGATGGATTGTAGCACCATACTGTGCTAAAACTTAATAATTGCATGTAAAAAGGCTTTGTGAAGTAACAATGCAAGCACTGTGGTAAGGAAAACTTCAACTGTTACAGAAGATATGCAGTTTTTTCTCTGCTTTCAGTATTTTCAAAATTTTTATCTCTTTCCTTATAGACAGATGGAGGAACATTGCACATTTACCCTGAGAACGAGAGTCGCATCGCTAGCATCGAGCCAAACTTTGACCGACTTCTTTTTTTCTGGTCAGATAGACGAAATCCCCATGAAGTCATGCCAACGACCAAAACAAGGTAATTGTTGCTATAGTTACCAAGGCATGCCTAAAAGAAAACGACATAAATGTTGCCATGGTTTCCAGTGAACCTTATTACTAGATTATCCGTTGACTTAAACTGGTTAACTGTTGGTGTAATTAGAAAGTAATATATGCCTATAATAATAGCGAAGTGATTGTTACTTGAGTTAAAAAGGTAAATTTCCAAAATTACCAATTCCAGTTGCATACAAGGTACCAAATTCTGTTGCCAGAGTAAGAATAATTAATATAGGATAATATACTTATCATAGCATGGTTCCTCCTTTAAGTAAACAAGGCAAGTTCTGTAGATTCCTTAATATTCTGTAGATTCCCAAATTTTAGCAAATCCTTATTTTCACAAGACAGTAATCTGGTATTTATAAGCGAGACAAAAATTTCACAAATTTTGTTTATTGTTGTATAGATCTTTTAATAATACAAATATATGTACAGAAGAATAAAAATTTCGCGAGCAGACAGTCTTGTGTAATTATGCAAAATAAAGTATTCACAAAAATGTGATTTGCAGTATGCTGAAAATTTATTATTGGGAGATGCACCACTTAGTCTAGCGAAATAAAATGACAAATTTTTATGTGACATGTAAGAACAGTCTCCTCTTGAATTCATGTTGTCACAATTTGACAACTACAAGTTATTCAGGATATTGAAATAAGGAGTTTACAGTATTGAGCATTGTGATATTTATCATTAGTCTCTGTGTTGAAAAACAAAAAATTCTAACAAACTAATAGTAATATGGACATGGTAATCTTTGTCCATGAATACTCTGTGTGAAGTTTATCCAGTTTACTGTGTGGCAGTCAGGCAGGTTCAATAGCCAGATAGCTCAGTTGGTAGAACATCTGACTACTGATTCAAGGGGCCAGGGTTCTAATCCAGGTCTGGTTCACTGCATTTTTCTCCTTTCCTGTTACTATTGTCCAGGACCAGGACCTGGAAGTGACTGGTGAAAGACCTGCCAGGGAAGAGCCTGGTTGGTGTCTTTGGGAGCAAAGACCTTTAAAGGAGGAAAGAATGTGGGGGTCAGGCAGGTTCGATCACCAGTGGCCACAGTTAGCTCAGTTAGAAGAGCACTTTACTAGTGATTCATGGGGCCCTGGGTGGAATGCTGGTCTGATCCATAAGATTTTCTCCTTTCCTGTTACAACTGCAGTTTTGGTATTTCAATTAGCATACGGTACCTGTAATTACAGATTAGCCATTACCGTGTGGTACTATGATGTTTTCAATTTGTCTAATTGTTGTGGTAATAAATCATTGTGCATGTTGTGGTAATTACATATATGGCATTACTTTGTGGTATTACAGTAACTATGTTTTTAATTTGTCTTATTGTTGCGGTAATTAATTGTCGTGGTAATTACAGATACGCCATTACTGTCAGGTATTACAATGTTTTTAATTTGTCTAATTGTTGCAGTAATTAATTGTTGCGGTAATTACAGATATGCCATTACTGTGTGGTATTACGATGCTGTGGAGAGGAAACAAGCCGTGGAGAAATTCACAGGTAAAGATTACCTATCCTTTCTGAGAATTCTGTTTTTAAATCACCTGAGTCACATACCTGTATCCATTACACACCTTAGTCATTAGTCATGCCATAAACTTATTCAAATTTTTCAATTTACCCTAACCATTAGAAAACATTTTTAAGCACAGGTGCTTGAAATTCTTTTTTTTTTTCAAATAAAGGGTCATGACTCTTCCAAAAGGAGAGAAAGTTGGGTGGATCATTTAAAAATCTTCAAGAACCATTGATTCAGAAATGATAATATAGTGAGCGAGCCATTGCCTCCTTGAGCCAGGATGGTATCTTAGGGTTGTTTGCTTTTATGTTCTTTAGAGAATCTTTTCACTTGTGTTGGGAAGCCATCAATTGCTGTTGGAAGACTGCAAAGTTAGATCTGTACTTGGCACTTATCATGCTTATGGCAATTGGCCGCAGTGAAGAATTTGTTATGCTAGCACCTAGCCCCATCAGGAGTATACCCCCATGTCCCACAGTGGATTAAATTAAGTACTTACTTTAATTTGGGATAAGTTTGAAAATTTGTACAAGCATCTTCTCAAAACTGGGGGTCTTTAAATATGGTAGCTATAGTGAAATCCATGCAAGATTCATCATCCTTGTTAAAAGTTCTCCATCACAGTGATAAGGAAACAAAGAAGGTGGGGGGATTTCATGCTATGGGATTTAAGATTTATTTTTATTTACTGAGAGCAATATGCTTTATTTTGTATGAATTAAGACTTAAGTCTTAAGGATTAAGTTTCTTCACATCCTAGCACTTTGGGATGTGCTAGGACCCTATGACAGAGATTTAAAGCATTATAAGGGAGCTAGTAAACGAGAAAAAGGATGGAAAAAAACTGCTTGTTACTCAGGTTGATTGTTGAGGCCCACAAGCCTGTTGCTATTTTTAGCTCATTTCTTCATTACAAAAATTATTGCATAATTCATTTTCATTCGCTGCTTCTTTTTGTTTTGTTTTTGTGGTTATCATTTTTTGTTGCAGTATATGTAGCTGAAACCTCAGTATTTGTTATTTTGTTTTGGACTTTCCCTGTATTGTAGATTACGGTGGGCTATCCCCTCTATCAAATTCCGTGTTGGGGGTCCAACAACTCCTCCCTATTATGACCTCCAACCAGGGACCATCAAGGAAAAAATCCTATGATGGTTTTGAGAGTTGTTTGGTCAATCGAAGACGAAGCAAGCCTAAGAAACATAGCTGTTAATTTAGAGGGTATATAATTGTTGTAAACTTGAGGACACATTTCTGTTGTAAATATAGCTTTCAAATTAGAGGGTTCAGAGATGTTGTAAATTCTGTTATAAATTGCAAGTTATATCACTGTTGTACACAAAAATTGTTCAGTTAGAGTGTATTTCATTGTAATGAACATAACTGTTAGGTTAGAGGGTATTAATGTAGTTAATTTTGCAAAAGGTGATTTAACTTGCATAACTCTCTTACTCTGTAAGCATACATGTAGCTGTAAGAATACAGGGTATTTGGCTATCGTCAGAGAGATAAGAATCTCCCTAATATTGGGGTAGTATAAATTTGTCATCTCTTCTGTAGGATTTCCTAGGTTTCTCAAAATGAATAGATGTAATTTAATCTTATAGAAAAAAAAACAACAACAACAGAGGACATGGCAGATAACTCAACACCTTCACTTCGACATATTAATCGTGTTAATGGTTTTTGAGATTTCTCTGTTCAAGATAGTGAAGTTCAACTGTATTAATTTTTTTTTCCTGTTTTGTTGTGCGTGTATGGGTTTTTTGTTGTTTTTTTTTGTTTGTTTGTTTGTTTGTTTTTTTTTTTTTGGTTTTGTTTGGTGTTTTTATGACAGAAATTTGGCATTTGGATTATGTTGCTCATCTCATTCTCACATTTTTATCATGATTGTCCATGTAATTATGTTCAGTATTCATTCATTTTTAAAAGAGAGAATTTTCATTCAGTGTTTATCAAATTGATTTTTCATCTTAATTTTGAATACAATTGAAGGTAAGCTTTACATTTACATGTAACTGCTAAGAAATAAGAATTAAAACATTTGTATTTTGTTGTTTTTTCAGAGGGCCAGAATCACCCTAAGCGATAGCAGTGTAACTTGGAGTGTGGGTGTTTTGTCTGTGCTAAGCAGTATATCAGTCGTACTATCCATGTTGTTGGCTTGGTGCCTTACTGTGATGTCAGTCCTTCTTAAATCGATTGCTCCGTCTTCTTTTTTTTTTGGCTTAAATTAATCTCCAAAACCTCTAAATGAGGTGGTGATTTCACACTATAAATTGAACACATGCAATTTGTCATTTCATCTCTACTGAATAAGCATATTGCATTTAAAAAAGTGTAGCAAGCCCTTCTTTGGGTAACAACAACTTTATTCAGCAGTCATTTCATGGGAAGACTGATTTTTATGAAGGAATGTTGTGGCTTGTTTGACAGTTAAAATCACAATCAGGTGATGTGAAGTGTAGACAGTTTACATGGATGTTGTGTAATCTCAATCATTGAAGTAAATGTTGAACAAAATGATTGATATGTTGTGTGAAACGTGGACATGCATGTGGTGATTTCAGGAAATAGAGGGGACCCAAAAAATCGATACTTCAGATTGATTTGATTAAAGGGACCCAGAAATCTGTACTACAGGTTGATTGATCAGTATTGTTGATCTGTTGTGATATCGGTGTCAAAATTAAGTAAAGTTTTTTTTTTTTTTTAACGGGTTCTTTGATAGACAGATTGATTCACATGGAATTGTGGAAGATCCAAGAGATCAGAGGTCTTAGCAAAAAAGCTCAAGGAAATTATAAAAGATGATTTGTGTTATAAAGAAATTTTATTTTACACATTGAATATGTGCTGTTGTTTTTATTTTTTATTTTTGTGAAAATGTGTAGAAGTTGTAGATTATAATATAAGATAGAATGTGTTGATTGATTCATATGCTACCAAAGAATTATCCATAGTTGAGTGCCTAAGTACTGTAAACCAACTTTAATTTGTGTGCAAGATATCTCTTCAGGTTTTGAGACATGATTTTACTTGCAAATTATCTTACTGGGAATAATTTATTTTATTTATACATTTATGGAATGTTTTGACTTCAGGTGTGAAAATGAATAGTTGCAGATTAGTTTCAAACTGAAGATTTGTGATTAAAAATTGTTGCAAATAATAGTTGGTTTATAGTATTTTATGACTACAGTGAAATAGTGTGTAAGTGTACGTTTTCAAGATCTCATTCTTACCAGCCTCAATTTGAGTTTTCCAGTCTCATTTTGATTTCATTTGAGGTTTTGTACAACTTCATATGATGACATCCTCTCTCTGGCTTTAAGCAGGGTTACAGATAACCCATGACCCACTGGTTACTACTTTTACAATATGTCTATTATACAATGTACTTTGCATATGCATGAAATGGCCAGACTGTAGTATAAAATTTGAAAGCATATTCAACTTCACTAAATTGTACAGTACAATATGTAATGCCCATTGATTGCTAATTTACATAAGGCCATTTTCCATTATCATCTTTATCAATTGTGACACTATACATGTATGTAAACATTCCTATGGTCGAATAAGAGCATTCAGAGTAGAGTTTTATAAGAGATTGGATATATGAGCTTGTATTTTTATACACTGATAGCAATGTTGGAAGGTATACTGGAATCACTTTGACTATCTGTCTGTCTATATATATTTTTGTCTAAGAACATTTCTCTATATATTTTCAGTATTATTTTTCAAACATTCAAAATTTCATAGTTTTAATATGTGCACCTGGTTAAATAGTCAAACGTTTTAAACAGTTGTGCCCCCCCCCCCCCCCCCCCCCCCCCGGAAAAAAAAGATTTTCATTGTACTTTACTTCTGTTACAGGAAAAAGAAGTGCATGTGTAAAATTCTTGCCCATAAACATGTATAACTTTGAAAACAAGAAACTTTAGAAGCTAATACTTAAAACAAAGGTAGCCTGTGACCCAAAGTGTGTCGCATCCCTGTAGGTCATTGTGACAAGGTCAAGGTCATAGGATACAGAAGTATTTAAATATTGTGTTATAATAACAACTATGAAACGGAGAAACATTAGAAGTTCATACTTGGACAAAGGTTGCTTGTGACTAGAGAGTGAGTCCTGACCAAGGATATTTTTGGGCAAGATGAAGGTCACAGTTTGAGAAGTGTAAATTCTTGCCTTACCCATAAATTTGAAGCAGAGAACATTGAGAGGATTACATGCTAGTCACAAAGGTCATAAAGGTCACGTGATCAGAAGGTGTAATTGATACATACTAGTCACAAAGGTCACTTGTGACCGGACGGTGTATTAGAACTTTGCACTATAGTCTTTTGGATGAGATCTACTGGTTTCAGGAGTAAAATTCTTGACAATACCATAATTTTGCACTGGATTAAATTTTAGAATGTCATACTTGGCCTGAGGGTTTATTGTGATCATGAGATCAAGGTCACATCACCGAGGTTATATAGACAAGGTCACAGGACCAAAAGAGTAAAATTCTAAAGGTATTGTAAATGTGAAATTCTAAACGACTTTTAATTATGTTCAAGGAGCATCATGTCATATTTAGCACAAAGATTGCTTGTATGCAAAAGGAAATAAGCTCTCTTTCCTAAAATCTTCAGATTCAAATGTATTCATTCTAACAATTTTAGGTACTATTCAAAATCTGAGTGGGACAATCTTGAAAGGTGCTATTTTCATCCTTGTTTTGAGGTATTGAATGATTCTATTTATATTATACACTCCTTTTACCCCTTATTGTTACTTTGTTAATTTAGAAAAAATGCAATCCTATGAAATGTTGTGTGTAAACTATTTGATTTAGGGAATCCCCATTGACCAAAATAACTTTCAAACATGAATATTTGTAAGAATTAATTAAGATGATGGATTGTGTAGTTTTGGTGCATTTGAGTCTCTCTCTGTGCAATGTCTAAATTGTTTATTCAAATTTTAGTCTCTAAAAAAATTGTGATGCCCCAGGATATATCTAACAGATAAATTGTTTCTATGTAGAATATGTTCTTTAAAAAGTGAGGATTTTGAGAAAAACTTGGAAGTATGGTACTTGGGTGACCATCGTTGCCCACAGGCCTGTTGTTGTTTCATATAGAAATTTATCAAATAATTTTTGTGTACCATGTGTCTAAGTGTTGTGTGAATTTTGAGTATTATACTAAGATTAAAGATATTTATTAAAAAAAAAATATCAATTTGATATTCAAAATCTAAAATTTCCAAGTACATCATATTTATTTATGTTAGTAATTTCTAAGTACTGCTGCACATTACTTGAGGATATATGCTCCTCTGGTAGGAACAGTTACTCTTTTAAAAACTATTTATTTAAGAAGTCTCAAAACAAAGCTTGAAATTGAATTTTTTGTTCAACAATTTTCATTTTATGCATCTGATTATGATTAAAGGTACTTTGAAATATAAGAAACTTAAATTAATACATAAGTTTAAAAACAAACATGGTTTTTTTTTAATGCCTGTGATGCCATATTTTTTTTATCCTAAAATGTTCTTGTTAAAAAATGTTCAATTAAAAAATGCATAACTATTTTTTTTTTCACGCTGAAAATATATTTGAGATTTGATAATTTTCTCTTTATAATATGATTAACAGTTACTATAAAGATGAACTTGGAAGAAATAACATGGGTAAAATACTCATTATTTTGTGAATTCAGTGACATTTTTGTGAGCATTTTTAATTCCTTAACTGCAGATTTTCAGTACCTGAGGAATGGGCTACCTTAAGTCTTGCACAGTATGAAAGACTAAAACTAGAAATAATGAACTCATTACTTTTTGCAGCTATTGTTTATGTTTTCAATGCATTTTGAATTTAATAGCAAAAGTTAAAGATGTGCCATTTTAGTTAATTAAGTCAGATTTCGCTCTGTGTATTTAGTTTTAATAATATTGCACATGATTGTGTTTCACAACCATTGTGAAGTTAAACTTTGTTCAGATGCCTGTAGTAGTAGAAATTAGACCCCTGTCATGTGATTAGAAATAATTCTTGAATAATTAAGAAATGTCCATGAATAAAATTATGGGTCCTTTGAAATATGATTTTAAGCATAAAAAGAAGAAAACAATTCAGATTCATTGTCCCTCTGTTCATTCAAATTAAAATTTGCTTCAATGCTAATGATTTTTCAAAAATAATTTGATGTATTAAAATGCACACAATATATACCTTAAGTACAAAATTTGACAGAAATGACCTTTTTTATTTTATAAAGGAATATACCAGTATTCATTTATTCCAGTAGGAGTTATCTCTCTTATAAGAGGGATGATGAATCTTGAAAGATTAGTTACTTTTTTAACTATTAAAAGTCTTTATTATTTTATCTAACAAGCTTTTTGTGTATTCATGTTCATGATAAGATTTTAATTTTTGATGTTCAACAAATTTTTTTGAAAATAATTATTGTTCCATTATATATTCATTTCAAAAAAGAGAGATAACTTATTTAAAATCATTATCCATATTTATTCATCTTATATGTACGAACTACATGTACATGTAGGTTTCATGAGTTAATGTATTTTCTTTATAAAAACACTATGAATCTAAATATCATGAAAGGGGGTAAATAGTCTTATTCGAAAGAAAATAGTTTTGCTAAGGTGTGCTTGTAAGACGCGGTATCTAGAAAAAGCGTAGTGAAGAGAAAGAATGGTTGCTAGATACAATTGTTGAGTATGTTTGCTACTGTTGTCTGTTGTTTGGTTGTACTACAACCATATGATCATTGTTTAAAATGCCAAATAAAAAATCGTTTTGTCAGACTGCTGTGGGTTATTTTTTCATGGTTATTGTCAGCTTCGACAGGAGTTATGGGATCGAGGAGATCCCTTTGAACTCGAGGTCATATACAACGTACCTTACAAAGTACTTTACCGAATGATAGATTTTCAAGATATTGTTAATTTAAATTCACAGTGCCTTCAGATATTTTAAGACCAAAAAATCAGCATACATTACCGTGGGTTTTGAATAGATATCAAATGAAAATTAATTGTGTCTTTGAATGAAGTACAATGATCAAAGGCTACTGGTGATGCCTCTTTAGAAGAAAAACCTTTAAGATGTGCAGACGATCTGGATCAAATATCGCTAAGTATGAGAATTTCCCCCAGAAAGGGAGGGGGTACAAATTACATGGTCGTCTGTATTTTCTCTGTCTCTTTAACAAAAATTGATAAATGAGCGCAATTTCTAACGAGTTTTGAATTACTGACTTTGTATGCTTTTTATGTGTGTTCATTATATATGTGGCCGTCACGGTAGCTCAGTCGGTAGAGCGCTCGCTCCGTGATCGGAAGGTCGTGTGTTTGAATCACGGCCGCGACTGACCTAAGTCGATAAAAAATAGGTAGCAACTGTTCCTTCGCCAAGCGCACGACACTTTGAAGTAAAAGTTGCGGGTCCTTAGGATGAGACCTTAAAACCGAGACCCGTGTCACGGTAGGCGTTGGCACGATAAAGAATCCTTACTGCTCAAGGGCCCTGAGTGCCGAGTAAAGGTCTAAATTTGAAGCCCTTCACCGGTATATGGTGACGTCTCTATATGAGTGAAAAATTCTCAAATGGGACGTAAAACAACATACAATCAATCAATCATTACATATGTGGAATGGAAAAAGGACACGTACATATTTAATTCAGAGAAATTTTAAGTTTTTGTCTGTGGTAGAATTTAGTAGTTCAGACCAAAGAAAAAGGGAAGTCGTCCGTATTTGCAGTGTATGTGTTTAAATGGCTTTACTGTAGCGTCTCTTTTGAACGGAAAATCTTACTAATTTTTTTTTTTTTAAACTCCCGGATGACCGTTTTTATCAGCAGTAGACTCTGTGTACGTGTAGTTATTTCGTGTGGGTTGAGACAAGGTGTTCCTGGGTACAAAATTACTTTTATATACACTCATGTCATGATGATTATCTTCTAAGATAAAAGTAATGGTGTTCTCAAAACGGATGTACGATCCATAGGCACTTGGGGTACGCCCCCTCCTATATTTTTTACTTTAATCAACATATTAACCCTTTTCTATAGATCTATGAATCTGGTTTTCAACTGATACATAAAAAGTATTCAGTTCAAAACCAGATATTTAAAAATAGCTCATAGAGAACACACACATAGGAAAAAAGTGTTTCGATCCCAGAGGGGGGGGGGGTGTCCATACCCCAAGTGCCTGTGGTCGCAAGATCAAAATGATCGTAAGGGTTTTAATTAGTAGATACCCTGGTCCTACAATATCCATTAACTGGAAAAAAGTGAACCTTTTTGGATAGTGATGTGCTACAGCATGGTGTAAACAAGGTGCAAAGTCCTTTTTTTTGTTCCTTGGTGTAATTTGAGCACAGGAGAATTTTGAGAGCTCAAGCATTCTCAGTACTCTGGTTTTGGATTAAGACCCCCAATAAGGCCATTGAATGATCGAATCAAGAAGGTTTTTCTCATAATTATTGTAAACATACAAATGCAAATACAAATATTTATTGGCGCAAAGACAATTACAATAATTGGCAAAGGCACAGCACACTATAAGAATCAATTGTTCATACATAAATATACAATATTCTAGTATAGAATGTGAGGCTATACATTATAAATCATACCATCATTTGTACAATAATTATGTAATGTAATCATTTCTAGATACAAGACATTTTTTAATAAGTGAGTGTGTCAGTTATTTTCAGTATTTCTGGACAATGGCTATTAAGGACGGACGATACGTTCCTCAACAATATATGTATTTTT